TTTTATTTTATATTTGTTTTTGTATATTATTGTGTTAACTTGGCAATCTGATCTTTTTTTTGTCATAATCTTTCATTGTTTTAAATGATCCAATTTAAGCACAAAACTAAGATTTATTCAGACATAATCCTTTCATTTGAAAATTTAGACATGCAGATATTGTCTGACACTTCCATTTCCACTTATTCAGTGGTCAGTGTACATATTTTATCAACATGCTTTAACATTAAGCAGCAATTAAAATGTAAATAAGAAATTTAAAGTTAAAAGATGTCACCCATTTTTATTTTAATGCATGCTTTTTTTTTCATTGTGTAAATTCTGGGCATTGTGTTTTTACTCTTGCTCACTATTATCAGTCAGTTTCTCTTTCTGTTTTTCATCATCTTGTATGAGCCTGTTCATAATGCCTTCATAGATGACACCGTCCTCTAGAAGCATTGTGCTTGTTTTCTCATCACCCTCCTTGGAGACTCGATATGTGCAGGGCCGCATTCATGTTGACCTTTTCCTAAACAACCGGTGGGGTAAACTAGCGAGAGGTGTAGCGCCGTTGCTCCATCCACGCTCCTTACCAACCGCTTCATTAAAACAAGAATCCTCTACCGTCGTCCTCTGCCTCATTTAAAGCTGGCCTTCCGCATTCAACAGGAGTCAATGCACACCGACCGGCCACCGCAGCCTCGCTGCATTAATTACCAGCTAATTGGCACACACAGTGGGGTCGTGGGCTCAGGCTCTTTTGTATAATACACTGAGGTTTTATAATACATATACGTGGTTCTCTTTCATACGCTGCCGTTTTATTCAGCCGGGGTGCCAGACATTGTCCTCGGACATGAAGTGGTTTGAGACACTGGCTCAATTAGGGGTGTGCGTATGTACGTTAGCTGCCGGGCGATGTTTAATAAGTTTGCAAACACAAGAGGACGCACCATTGTCCATCCATAGGGTGTTTGAGTCGTAATGAGCAGCGTGTGCCCAAGAGAGGCAGATTCCTGTCTTTGAGAATAGATCCTCGTTCCTTCTGTCTTCCTCCTATTCTTTTTATCAGGATTGAAGGAGGTGTTGTGTGGAAGAGGGAGGGAACTGGTGCTTCCCGCTACGGCTGCTGGGGAGACGCAACATGTCCATGGAGGAATGTCCCTCCCTATGTCTGCTGCTTGACTTGCTGTCCAATTAGTACTGACTCTCTACCCATACACACACACACACACACACACACACACAAAACCCTACGTAAACTCACAATTGCTCAGGTTGCTTATCAGTGCATGTGCATTTGATTAGATAAGAGATTGTCTTGGATTCTGGTTTGCGTTTTCAAGGGACGCAGAGGAAACGTCTTTGTTTCCTTCTTGTCAACTTAATATCTTGTTTACACTCGTCATGACGTGCGTTTGACGTCAAGGGGTTCTTATGTGGACAGTAATGCAGTCCATGCCTGAATATCGGGGATAAGATAGTTGGAAATTAGGGATGTAACAGTACACAAAAATTACAGTAGGGTACGTACCATTGTGGCTCTGTCTTTAAGTAAATTAAAATATAATTACAATTTTCTGGAAAGCATAAAAAAAAAATCACTCAGCTAATGCTGTAAACTATATAAGAAACCCCCTTATTTGGATGCTATTATAATATTGAAGGTTTTAAATTCTGTTATTTTTTTTATTTTTTTTTTAGATGTAGTAATCAACGCTCAAAATAATTGTATGCAAGCATAAATTGCACAAGTCAGTTTTTACATGAAATTATAAATCTAATTATGATTATGTTTATACTTGACAGCAATTATTGGACAGGAGGTGCACTGTATAATGTCTAATGAATTTTTACTGACACATCAACTGAAACAGACTAGAAGTTCGAACTTTGGATTTAAGAATCAATATTGATTCTTTAAAATAAATATATATAAAACTAGAAGTTTCAAATTAAGTTCTGGATGTGTAGTCGTTAAACCAACACTGTATTAAAAAGAAAGTCCTGTACTGAATATTTTCAGTATGAATACATGTGCTGTTACACCCTTATTAGTGTTACCTTGTCTTTTTGTGGAAAACTTATGGTAACACTTTAGTATAGGGACCAATTCTCACTATTAACTAGTTGCTTATTAGCATGCCTATTATTAACATATTAGCTGTTTATTAATACTTATAAAGCATATATTCTGCATGATCATATTCTATATCCCTAATCCTACCAATAGCTAAACTTAACAGCTACCTTACTAACTATTAATAAGCAGCAAATTAGGAGTTTGAGGCAAAAGTTGTAGTTAATAGTGAGAATTGGACCTTAAAATGAAGTGTGACTAAACTTATGTAGGCTATAAGTTGTTACACCATTTAGTAGCTCTTTATAAATCAAAATGTCCAAGTTTATCTGTGTGTGAATGACATAATGCAAATGAGCTTTCTGCGGCTTTGATTGGATAATGCTCTTATAAATCATCTTTGGCCGTGCTTTGATTGGATAATTCTCTGATGAATCTTCTCGGGGTGTGCTGGTGACACACAGTGCAGATATAATTGGATTAGCGTGGAGGAGCTGCCGAGGCTTTGAAGAGATTAGAATGAGCACTGATCCTGTAATTAAACTGCAGGGTCGGGTGGTGGTGGAGGGGGTGGAGGGCCGCTCTGGGATTGGGGGGTTTAGGGTTGTGATTCTCTTATATGGCCAGATGTAATGGCAAAGAAAGATGTTCTACACATCAACAGGCCTCTTTAGGGGACAGAACTGAATTCAGCTACAATGGTCAGTACAAAGGGTTTCTTTCAAAGAGCAGGTGGATTGTGGTGACAAATTAGTGGCCTGAAAAACGAAATCGGCAAGACGTGAGCACAATAAATCTGGAAAGGAAATGATGGCTGCTGGAGTTTTTGCATATTTTACACACATTTCATATTTTATACCACTTTTACAATTATTGGACCTTCGAACTCTGCAGTTTTTTTTTTTTTTCTATTTTAATTTAATTTAAAATGTAATTTTTTCCTGTGATGGCAAAGCTGAATTTTCTGCAGCCATTACTCCAGTCTTCAGTGTCGCATGATCCTTCAGAAATCCTTCTAATATGCTGATTTGCTTCTCAAGTAACATTTCTTATTATTGTGAATGTTGAAACCAGTTGTGCTGCTTCGTATTTTCATGGGAACCATGATACTTTTTTTCTGGATTCTTTGATGAAAAGAAAGTTCAAAATAACTTTTTTTTTAATTGAATTTTTGTAACAATGTAAAAGTCTTTACCATCACTTGAATGCATCCTTGCTGAATAAAAGTATGAATTTCTTCCAAATTTCTAACTGACCCAAGGCTTTTGAAGTGTATATATTTTAAAGTTATAAAAAATATATATTCTATAATATATAGTTATTGTATATTATGTTATGCATAGAGATACACACAAATCAATTGTTCTTTCCTTTTGTGTACAAAGTAAATGTAATAGAAGTTTCTACTGACGTTGGTCATTCCTGCCGGTTGTATCCCCCGATCCACTTATTTGCATGTGATGACGTGAACATGCAAAGCACAAGTAGGATGCAAAAGTCCTGAGCTCTGTTCTGCTCTATTCAACAGGAAGGAACTGATCAGACCGATGGGAGTGATGAAGGATGGCACTCTAGCACCCCTAGGAGAAGCCATCCATGAATGCAGCCCTCCACCCAGCAGCGACTCCGACTCAGACTAGCAGAAGTTTAGTTCACTCAGACAAACCCTCTAAGCACCGCTGCTGCCGGCTGACCACCACTGTCTTACCAACTGTCTCTTGCACAGGGGATAGTTCAGTTATTTCCTACTGAGGTTCTTTTGTTGCACGAGGGCATGTCTTTCTAATTGGGACATGAATGGTGAACTATAGAGTGAGCAGAGAGAGAGGACGCAGAAATGTTTAAATAGATAAACGGTTGTCACCGGACTTCAGATATAATCAGTGACTGTATAAGATGGATCTGTTAAGTAGGAAATTACACAACATATTCACGTGTCTCTGTGCACAAGTAAATGCACTTGGTCTTCAATAATGAAGTATAAAGGCTTTATGACATTTACCCTTAAGTAAAGCTGTTCATTTAGGTTTGTATTTATTAAACAGTCTGTGGCTGTTGCTGGTTCACAGATGGAAGAAACCTGTTCCACGGCGTTTCAAAATACTTGAATGTCTTTTGAAATGTTATATGCCAAGACAAGCCATGAGATCAGTTATGCTAAGAAATTGTTTGTCTTGCACTTAGTTTTTGCAAGATGTGCATTGAATTTTTTTCCACCACTTATGCCTGGAGTTTTAAACAAGTGTCTTTTCTAATGTTCTATATTGCTTTTAGCTACACAATTTTCTATATACATTGTTTTTTTTTTTTCTTTCAATGTTATTGGAGGTGACGTTTTCTTTTTCTAAAGGAATGTTAAGTTTTACACAAAGGATGTAATTAAATTCAGGTTTTCTAAAGATTTCTGGTTACTATCTTTGATTTAAAAGCTTGTGAGTATTTCACGAGGCCCAGTACTCCTCTGCTATAACCACTGTAAAATCAGAAGGGGCTTGGTTTTATAAAATGTTAATTTTTAATTTCCTTCAATTTTTGCATATAGGTTTTTTGTTGATTTTCATTTCAGACAATCATTTGCAATAAATTAAAAACAAAACTAGCAGTGTCATTCACTTATTGCATGCAGAAACATGTTTTGTAATTTTGGCTGTGAATATAAAAATGCTAATTTAACATCACTAATCCTAGTGTGATTACGGCAAGATTATATCACATTAAATATGAGCTTTAGGAGAGAAAAAATAAATAAATAAAATGAGATTACATGATCAATAGTTGTATTCAATATATTGAATCCAACTGTTGCTTCTCTAAAACGATTTGTATCCAAATCCAGTGTGAAATTTGCTTTAAATTCGAAAACTGAATATTCCATAGTTGAACAGAATATATGTAAATAAGATGAACAAAACAAAAGAGACAAAGCCATGAATATATTTATTAAATACCATACGATGCAATTTTTATTAACAGGATATAATAAAAATTAAAAAAAGCAGCATTTTAATATTCAGAAGTACAAATGGCGAGAACGTTAAGAACAACAAATGCAAGCTTTAACTACTATCAATCATATTCAACTGGAGAGCCAAGTTGACTGTTGAGTCCCATTTTAAACAAAACCACCATTCCATGAATCAGAAACACCGATTTAAAAGACAGCTGGTAAACAGGCTTCAACAAAACAAACATGGCAACCTGCATATATGAATAAAGATACGAGATGGACTGAAACATTTAATAGGCATTCTGGCCTTTTGTCCATATATCTCAAAAGGTGCCAAAATCCCTGAGGGACATGAACAGATATGATCACAGCAGTGTGGTAATTACCAGCTACTTCACTGACCCTGTGCAAGATCAAATTGCGCCCACAGCCGTTCTCATACGCAGAACCACACACACACAGCGGGATATTGGGGTTCTTTGTTGCTAACCAAAGACATTTATTAGAGTTTTGGGAGGGTTGGAGCTCCTGCTTGGAGGCTGCAGTGCCTGTGAAAACACACAGTGGGGGCACTGCACACTTGGGAGGTCATGCCTCCCATGCTAATTTAGCACCGTTCACTCACTGGGGCCAAACCATGACTCGCTGGATACCAAATGACTTACAACTAGCAAACAAATACATAGACATACATACACATTTATATACAACCGTACATTTCCAATTTTTCACATTAACTGCACACCACCAACCTTTCCAAATAAAGATTCAAATCTTGATTATGGTTTGGATATAGTTTGTAGAATGCTAAAAGGAGCCTTATAGCACCTTTTATCTGTCCAGAGATAATTAGTGGTCCTAAACTAACAAAATAAGTGCCACATTTCAGGGTCTGATAAAAATGTATTTATTTTTACCTAAAAGCAGACATTTTCGCATTCTAAACGGGTCCGTATCTTTGAATCACGATGTGCAGATGTGACGTAATTACAGTTCTCTGCTTATACTCTTTATGAAAAGCCGTAATGAATAAGTGCTAGAATTTAGAAGAAATCCAGATGCAGGTTTTCAGTCAAAATGAGCAGCAGACACTACGCAGATAATCATTTTAAACCCAACAAAAATTGAGTCTAATCCGACCAGAAACACGGCCAAGTTTCACTGTCTGGTCAAACAAGGCTGCTGTTTATCCGTTTCAGGAAAAGACTGCCCAGAAACACAGTCAAACTGGCTGTTACTACTGGTAAGAATAATGACATCCTAAAACATTCAGATGTAATGATATACATAAACATCACTGTGGGTTTTGAAGCCTTGCCAGGTGTCCACTGCCATACTCTGTGATATTTTAAACATAAAAGCCTGTCTGTGGATGACATTAGTGCATGCTGTCGGTCTCTGAAGAGTCACTGTTCTCACCGCTGCTATTGCTGGGGTCAGTATATGAACAAAGCCCATTTTCATGGCTGTTCATCAGGTCTTGGATCTCAGTATGCCATCCCAGGATCTCGGCAAGCTTTCGGACAGAATCGGAGAGATCTCCCAGCTCCATGTAGTCGGCCCTCCTCAGGGGCCTCCGTTCAAAGGGCCCGACTGGATCACGGTTCAGCAGCAGACGAGGCACTGTGGACTTCACCGTGTTGACCAGGCTGGCGAAAGGCTCGATCTGCCACAGAGCAGAAAGATTAACTGGTATTTTTATTAAGCAAAGACCAATTAAATTGATTTAAAGTGACAAGAGATTTCCATTTAAAATTCCCTTATAATGCTGGGTTTAAAAAATCCTTAAAATTATTACTGTTTTCACAAAAATATTAAGCAGCACAACTGTTTTCAACATTGATAAAACAACTGAAGAGTAATGCCTGCTGAATCAGCTGTAAAGTCACAGGAATACTACATTATATTAAAGTGGAAATGAAGCAGTCAGTCAAGTTTACATTTAGGAAAATAACTTCCATTTTAATAAAAAAATATAAACAAACATGATTAATGTAACCATTTTAAAGTCCCCCTGTAGTCAAAAATGTTATCCTTTAAAACTCATCTTTGATCATCAAAATGACATATTTAA